AATCATGTCTTGTAGTTTACTGACAAACTCTTTAGAATAAAAAAATGTAAGAACAAAACTATTAAATTTATTTATATAGTGGTAACATACAATTGGTAAATAAGATAAACATTTAATTCTAACAAAATATGTATGACATACGGGAACAGTAGGTGAAGATGACCCTACCCAAACACACATTTAGTGTGAAGATTGCTATGCATGAAACATCTAAACATTAAAATTAGTGTAAAATATCATTTTTATAATGTATGGGTGTAAAAAAAATAAAAGTAAGAAAAAACTGTGATATTTCTTTTTGCCACTCAGATTTCAATTCACTATTTTTTGGACTTGAGCAAATAAACCACTTAGGTATTCACTATACTGTGATCGTTGGGAAGTGAACATTGAATTTCAAATAGAAAATTTAAATTAGAAATATCCTGGTAAATTTATAAACCCTAATTTTTGTTTATAGAAGTAAACATTGTGAGAGTATGCACTCTTCTGCCACAAGATGGCAGTGTTGGACCACATTAATATTAATTAGACTAATAGACTTGTCTTTTAACTTTATTTATTTAACAATTCTTATATCGCACACTTAACTTGAGCTCATTACATAAACACTTTATACAATGAGTGAAACTAGCATTTTGATATAGTCATTGAGTCGCAATATAGTGAGGTCTAATACTTAGAGAGAATATATCCTGTAGACTATAAACCAATTACAGTAAATTATTGAACAGAAAGGTTCAAATTATAGAGCAATAAAAGTTCCACTGATTGGGTTATGACTAAGGAAGGTAAGAATCAGGAAGAATTATGCACTGGGAGAAAAGGGAAGTGATCAGATAGGAGAATGGAGGAATAGGTTATTGAGTAACATAGAATGTTTGGGTAAAGAGGCATGTCTTCAGAATTTTACACAAGGATGAAAGCGTGGTGGCTGGCTGGATGCGAAGTGGGAGCTTGTTCCAGTAATAGTGGGCTAGAAGTGAGAATTAGCATTCACATTATCAGTACGGTAATTAAGAAAGTTCCACTGGGAGACCACAACCAAACCTCTACTACATAGATTATAAGCGTTAGATTCAGTACAACCCAATTCTTCTTCCAGACCTCTCTCCTCTCATCACTGTAATGCGAATTAACCTTAGTATCACCCATCAGTCAGATATTGATCAGGATCACTATGTTCTCATGGCTTGTGTGGTTGCATTTTGACACTTTCCCGTGCCACTCCTACGCCTACGCCTACGTAAAAAGGATGTTTTCTTCACACCTATATGCATCGCTTGTGATGCATTACACTGATATAAAGTCCACCACTCCTCGCAGGCCTCACTAGCACATTCACACTTCTTCACAATATACTACACCGTTTGTTTTGGCTAACATCATATTTTAGAAATGTTAGATTTATTGACAAATGATAGATTTATTTACATTTTTCAGTCCACTTATTGCCTGAATTGATGGCATTTTTTAAACGTCTTTTTGTTTTTAATGTGATGCATTTTTTGGGGGGCCCTTTACACAGCTCAAGGTCTGGGTCCCAGGGTCCACCTTCATGTTCCACCAATGAGTTTGTTCACAGGGGGTGGAGTGTGTAGGGGATGTCCTGATGTCTGTAAGGAATGCATTGTGTGAATCTGTGTTTGTATGTGTAAGGGCTGCGAGGTGTGTTTGTGTATGTATGGGATGCAGTGTGTGCGTCTGTAAGGGATGTATTGAGTGTGTGTAAGGGGTGCATTGAGTGTGTGTAATTAATGCATTGTGTGTTTCTGTGTGTGTAAGGGATGCATTGCTTGTGTATGTGTGTCTGTGTGTGTAATGCATTGTGTGTTTTTCTGTGTGCAAGGGGTGCATTGTGTGTGATTGTATGTGTGTGATGGATGTCAATCTCCCCCCCTTTCAATTTCCTTCTCCCCCCTCCGTCAATTTCCTCCCCCCTCCAATTTCCTTCTCCCCCTCTCCAATTTCCTTCTCCCCCATCCCTCTCCAATTTCCTTCCCCCCCTCCAATTACCTTCTCCCCCCTCTCCAATTTCCTTCTTCTCCCCCCTCTCCAATTTCCTTCTTCTCCCCCTCTCCAATTTCCTTCTCCCCCTCTCCAGTTTCCTTCTTCTCCCTTGCTCTCCAATTTCCTTCTCCCCCTCTCTTCAATTTCCTTATCCCTCAGTTTCCTTCTTCTCCCCCCCTTCCCAGTTTGCTTCTCCCCCTCTCCAATTTCCCTTCTCCCCCCTCCTCCAATTTCCTTCTTCTCCCCCCTCTCTGCAATTTCCTTCTCCCCACCCCCCTCTCCAATTTCCTTCCCCCCTCTCCAATTTCCTTCTTCTCCTCCTCTCAATTTTCCCTTCCCCTCTCAATTTCCTTCTTCCCCCCTCTCCAATTTCATGCTTCTCCCCCTCTCCAATTTCCTTCTTCTCCCCTCTCCAGTTTGCTTCTCCCCCTTTCAATTTCCTTCTCCCACCCCTCCCGGTTTCCTTCTCTCCCTCTCCCCCCCCTCTCAATTTCCTTCTTCTCCCCAATTTCAGTAGCAGCTGGCCAGTGTAAAACTTAACAACAGGTTTAGAAAAACAAGTCTTTGTGTTAGAATAGGATGTTTAGAAGTTTAGCTGTTGTTAACCTCTTTACAGGCCCTAGGCTACTGTTACGTTTCTCCTCTAGCAGCATGGTTGAAAATCAAAGTGTTTACTTTCAGTAATGGCAGACGGTTACTCCCTGTCGCTACCTGTGACATTTTATACTCGGAGAAAATAACCACTACTCAATAAATATAGCAACAGGCATGGGAACAAGTAACAGCTGGTCACTATAATGTAGTGACCAGGTTGTACAGAAGTTCTACATAGGCATTGCTAGGGAGGGGATTTGGGGGCTGAAATCGAGAATGTGAAACCTTTAAGTCCCAGGATATCTATATGTAGGAGAGGGGCAGGAGAATATTGGTGTTTGGGTTTTTTTTAAGCAGCCAGTTGCTTCTTAAAGTTGCAGCCTGAAATAAAAAGTAAAAAGTACTAGTATACTTCTAAGAGGAACGTGCTTGAAAACCTAACTTGCTGCATACCTCTCTATTAGTTAGATTATATAGCAGGATCACATTGAATACATTGTGCAGAATGTGCTTGTTTTAAGTAATGCTTTCACTGACATCCTGAAGTGCACAAGCAACACACTGCCATGCACAAAGGGACATAACATATAGAGATAAAATTATATGGCATGACATCCCTACCTCTCCGTTAGTGTATGGCTCATCGAGTTTTGCTTTGGTGATTAAGCGCCAGGTGTTTCTGGAATCTCAAAATGTCTCTGGAGTCCAGTGTGTATTATGGGATAAAATAATGCCATGGGAAATTTAGACACTTTTATATATGAAATTTAATAATGTAGAAACTACTTTTCTTGCCGTCCACTTGAAACACAAACTAATATATATATAATACACTTCCCATCCGTTGTACAATTTGTTTCCTTAAATTGTTTTTGTTTTGTTTTGGTTTTGTTTCTAGGACTGGACTAAATCCCAAAATATCCAGTTTCAGAAAAATTGGAGATCTCAAAGCAACACCGATATAGATATTTCAAGTATGGCTGTACTACATTTACACAATGAAACCATGTCTCATGTTGAACTACTAACACCTTTATCATCAATGGATACATCTCTTAAAAAGGATATATGTGGCTCTCCGGCTCATTGCTATATGTCAGAGCAAGAGGATGCGTTTTCCAGTGAGGTCTACCCTAGTTTGTTTCAAGTACTTAATGATTATGGTAACCAGCAGAACAATATGTCTTACTTACATTTTAGAGATTCTTACGTGTCCTATGATATAAATGATGTCACAATTAACCTATAATGAAAATATACTCCATTAAGAGATTTCTAAAAGATACATTTTTGAGCAATGAGGTTTATATGTAGCAAAGTGCGTGAAATGAGTCTTACCAACTTAAAAAATGATTACCTAATCTGTCTTTTATTTTTGGGGCTTGATGGCCAGCATGATGCAAAACAGGCTGTCTCTCTGTGCTTTGCATATTTCTTTTTTATTTGGTACACTAGAATTCTAAGAACTTTTGTGGAATACCATTAGTGCTTAAGATCTCCACACATCCATCGTTTGTTGATAGATTATTTCCATCAAGTCTGTCTCTGTATGGTGGATACATTTTTAAAGAAATGAGTCGGTCATTTTTACTGAGTCTCAAGACTAGAATGTTGGCATGAATATGCATTTGTGTTTAATATCTTTTAAAATTGAATTTGATTATTAGTGATGGCTATTTCTGCATACCCTCACTTGATCACCTTCTCAGAGACAACTTCTTGTGTGACTTCTAGGCACACTCATATACAGTACTAGCAGGCCTCCCAACCATCCCAATTTCGGCAGGACAGTCCAGATTTTCAGGTCCTGTCCCACCATCACGACTTCTCTGATGTCCTGGTTTAGGAAAGCCAGGGAACTATCCCCAACAAGCAATGTGCAAGTGCATCATTAAACACGCTTGCGCTATGTTTAGGCCACTAAGACTCTGTAGAGAGCACTGAAACAGTGCCCCCAGCAGACTCTGCCCTCAGTGAGTCGGCCTGTGGTATTGACAGCATTGAATGCATACCAGGCTGACCTGTCAGTAAATTGGATGGACCTGCTCCCTTTCTGGGCAGTCCACCTCCTTTAGGCAGAGACAATAACGCCATGCCACCACTGGCCTACAACCTTTTAATCACCAGCGTCCTCATTCTCAAGTCGCCAGGGTTCGGAGGTATGTACTAGAAATGTCTAGTACAACTAAAAGCCTTGAACTGTCTGTCATGAAAAGTGACAGACAATTTGATAGAGGTAATTTAATAGAGGTCATCTACTTACTACTCATAACATTTCAAAGGACCCAACATGGACACTTCTGCGTGTTATGGGATGAAGCTGTGGTTATTTCATAAAATTTTATGTGACTTCTTGACCTGTTGATTTTTAAATAAATTACAACAGAGTGATTTAGAACAAGACCAGACAATACGGTACATATTATTGCTACGGAAAAGTTATACAGTCATGCATCCCAAAGAAGTAAGAATATCTGTAAGATGTGATGGACGGAGGATTCTGATAAACAGGACACTTGGAAGGGTTGTGATATAACCGCTGTGCACACTGTGGTGGGAGATGTTCTAAGGTTTGATATCTTCAATTTCATCCAGATGTACAAAATATTTTTGGTTTTCCTTTTTTTAACATCACATTTGATGCTAAATATTTCTAATGATGATAACACTGTAAGAATATTATTTTATGTAAAATACACTGAATAAAAAGCTCATTATGGCATCAATCTTTCTTTTATTTTATTTTTTGGGGATCTCTCTCTTATGTCTTCAAGGGCATTTAGATTCTCCTTCATTTTGTGAATTTTCCAGGAACAGGGTTTGGAATCTATAGCCATACATTGAAGAACATAGAAGGATTAGAAAAACAATAAATATTAAAAACATACTTAGAACACATCAATCAATAAGTATATATATTTGCGTTATTAACACAATAAAAGCCTAGAGAGATTCATAACAGGGATAAATAAACTGCTGTAATACTGAATAATAAACTGTAGATGGTGCCAATCTACGGAGATAAAAATGGTAATCATGTCCTGTATTCGGGTGGACTAGTGGTCTACAGAACAATAATAAGAAAGTCCTAATGTTAGCTCTCAAATATCAGGTAAAGGAGAGCTCCAATCAATATACAGCAAGGAATGGAAATTAATGGAGCCTTTTAGGTTACAGTACTCTAGTGCATGTGGATCAGAACAGGGATTGCAGAAGAGAAAGCGTATTAGCTACACATATAGAAAGCCCAGAAATAGGGTGTAAGCTGTCTAAAAAGAGTAACATGTTCCCAGCATACAGGAAAACATTCAAGTTATGTAAAGATTATGAAAAATGACTCAGTCTATCTTTTTATTAACACTGTCTGACACTGAGACCCTCAACGTGCTTTTTGCTGTTCTCTTATAAGGAAGCCAACACAGAATCAGAATGCGAGAACACCTTTCAATTAGTCCATTGGAACCATGGGCGAAGGAGATGCTGTACAATACTTCCTCCGAGTAGGTGGACAATACGGTTTATCTCCTTACCTCTCCAATGGCGAGTGTTATCAGAGGCCGGGGTCTAGATGTTAGAGGATAAGTTGAACTCACTAGGTGGGCTTTTTTAGCTCTAGGCAAAGTCCAATATCATGATTGGAGAATTACCAATAGCAGCAGTCCTATAAGTGGGTGCATCTGTTAGGATACAGTCCCCCAACACACGGAACCCGGATCAAAGTTAGAGAAAATAGCATTTACCGGTCCATAGAATGACCAGGCTAATGCAGGACAGAAATTTTTTTCCAAAACAGTAACAAGAAATGGTCAGGAGTACAGAGATACAGAACAACAAAGAATCTAGCCAAGGTCAGGATAACGGAAATACACAGAGTCAAGAACAAGCCAAGGTCAAAACCCAGAAAATTAGAATATAATGAAACAGACACGCTAACTGAGAGCCAAAATGAAAACCACAACAGAGCATATAGGGATATTCTGATTGGTTCCCGCATCCTTGTGACCCCCAAAAATATTAAATCGATGTCACAGGAATGATGTGATTGAGGAGAAGCCGGTAGCCTTCAAACATATAAATAAAGGGATATAAATAGAGCATGCAGAGTCATATGTCAAACAATGTTCATTCTATCAGAAGGGTTGAAGCAAAGTCTTGAATTTTGGTAAATTCACTTAATGGGCAATAAAACTCTTAATAAGGATCAACTTATTATTATCATGAAGAAGCCCATGACAACCAAAAATCAGGAAGATAGATTCATACAGCTGCTAATGGCAGATAGCAAAAGGGGGAGGGAAGAAGTACCTAGACATAGCTAATCCTAATAAAGGGGGTACAATTCCATTGATGGAAGCCATCCTTCAGGAATCCCCCATTTTAAAAACTGGGATTACAGAACCCAAGTGGCTCAGCAGATCGCAGATTGCAGAAGTTCCTATAGGGATACAAATAAACAGATACATAAAAGAAAATATGATAAGCCATTCCGTGTCAGGGAGACAAAGTCAAGATATACCAATACCCAAAAATCCATAAAAGCTATAATATAATTAGCGGCTTATTTTCTCTGTATTGCTCTGTAAATTGCTAGTCCCTCTGAAAACCCTCACGATTACCATTTTTACTATTTGGATCTCTGTAGATTGGCGCCATCAACAGTTTTCCTAATACAGCAGTCTGTTTATCCCTATGAGATATTTCTATAGGCAGTACTTATTATTATTATCGCCATTTATATAGCGCCAACAGATTCCGTAGTGCTTAGCAATATTATGAGAGGGGGGATTTAACCATAAATAAGACAATTACAAGAAAAATTACAGGAAAAGGTTGAAGTGGACCCTGCTCAAACAAGCTTACAGTCTATAGGACTTGGTTGCAGTTATGTTAATAAAAGCAATTTGTTGGAAATTCCAGAATAATTATTTCTCAGTTAGGTAAAAATATATATGAGAATTTAATGGTTGATTTATGTGTTCAAAGTAGGTTTTTAATATTAATTATTATTGAAAGTTATGTTTTCATTTTATTTTTGAACACGTTTTGATTCGTTTAGGAGTACCCCCCCAATTTTGTGGTGTTAGAGCGATCTAACCTCTTTGTAGCTCTTCACCCACTATATTGCAGAAGCCATACATGTTAACCAATAGAGGGTTCATTTGAGAATTACTGTTATTTCTCAGAACTGACATATGATGTTTTTTTTTTCTGCTGTACAATAATTAAAGTACAGTAAATTGGCAATGACATCCTGAAACTTTGGTTACTAGCCCTGTAACTGTGTTTTCTAAATAAAATAGTCTGGGCTGAAATTTAGCAGTTTGTCCACTAGGTGGCACTTTAAAACCTTGAAAAGCAAACTAAAAATTAAGTAATAAAATAATTGTGTATACAAATTGTTTACAATTAACTTTTACTGCTTATTTCACCCATTAGGACTGAGGCAATTGTACACGTTCTGATCAAAACAAAATGTAAACTCATAAAATGTAAATTCATAAAAATATGAATAAAATCTAAAAGAAAGTTTGCGAAATTTACATTTTGATATTTTCCAAGTTCTGCATGACATTTTAACTGTAAGTGTCATAATACTAATAGCTTTTCCTGAAATAAATGACACATATTCGTGTTCAGTAATGTCTCATGAGTAAAACAATACCACCACCCCTCGGAACCGCGAGGGAGTGCAGCTGCTCTAACAACACACTGGACCAGCAGGGAGTCCTCCAACAGCCCACCGGACCACCAGGGAGTCCACCAGCACACCACCAGGGTGTCCACCAGCAGCCCACCGGACCACCAGGGAGTTCACCAGCACACCACCAGGGTGTCCACCAGCAGCCCACCGGACCACCAGGGAGTTCACCAGCAGCCCACCGGACCACCAGGGAGTTCAACAGCAGACCACCAGGTAGTCCACCAGGGACCCATTGAACAACAGGAGGTAAGCAGGAGGGGGGCAAATAAATATAGAGGGGTGGTGAGTGATTAAGTGGAGAGAATGACACATAGAATGTGTTAAACACAGTCTCCCCACACTGACTAAAAATGCATTTAGTATATATATATTTTTTTTTTTTTTTTTTTTAAATTCTTTATTTTAATTGTGCACAAGATTACATAAAGGCTGACGATGCCACAGCAGCATAGTACAAGCCCATTAAAGCAAGGTATTTCACACAGATGGCATTGAATTATTGGCACATTTTTTTGTATTTGTAAGAGGATAACCAAGCTAGGTACACACAGAGTGACAAGCAGTAACATCAGTATGCATAACGTAGTGAGCATTATAAGAGTAACTGTGATGCACCTTAATGTGGTATATAATCTGACAGCATGACTAGTCTGGATAGTGCTTTACAGTTGACTGGTCTAAAATAGGCTAATCTAACGGTCAATGCTTCAGATATTAGAGCAGTAAAACAGTCATCTAACACATTTAAATGAAACTTTGCATTAGAGGACCTGTGTGCACTATTTTATAGTAAGTAGATAAACATGCATGAAAATTAACAATATGATAGCAGGAATTGGTGAGACTCATTCACATATGTGCAGATCATGCTAGACTTGCGGACGCTGATTTAATTGCATAACATGCAAGCTTGGAGTATAATAACAGGTTAGGTACGCTGTCACAGGTTATGTAGATAGATAAAAACAAGCTATTAGCGGGTTTAACACCTGACTTACTGCTTTGTTTGTTAGCCTGAGCAAGTTCAGTGGAGCTAGTGTCTAGTTGTATAGGCTATGCTAGGCTTTCTATTGCTGCCTGGGGTTGTGTAACATGCTGGCTGGAATCGTATAACATGCTGGCTGGAGTCATATTAACAGGCTAGTGGCTGGTATGACATCTGTAACGTCTCTCTTGTAATTTAGCATGTATTGGCTTAGGCAGGCAACTAAGGATACCCAAACATAAAAAAAGAAAAACAAAAAACAAAGTTTAAGCACATAGTCAACGGCTTTGTTTGTCTGGGTACAGACAGGTTAAGCGGGTGGCATGGGTACCAAGCTCGGGAACAATTGGCACTGTTAGCCAATGCCTCGGCTTTGTGTTGCCACATAGTCCTTGGGAGCTGCTGGGTAGCAGATCATCCGATGCCCCGTCTGGAGGCTGTGAGTGCAGGTGCGGTGTGGATGTCAGTGAGCCCTCTCTTCCGCGCCTCGGGACCTTCTTTGTTCACATGGGCTTCACTGTGCATTCCGGGTGGGGCGCCCTTCCTGCCCTGAGACTCTGTGAGAGCCAGTACCATCATTTCATGGACCCATCGCCGTTTTGGGGCCAGGTCCTTCCACGGTGTGTGGGGCTGCGTAGGGCGGCACTTCGGTGCTTCCGTGAGTGCTTTGCTATCTTCCGCAGGTGTGTGTGGCTTGTGGGGGTCTTTCCCCTAAGGACTCTCATCCCAGGCGGGCTGTCATTCTTGTATTTCGTTGGATTAGCTGTAGCTTTGCCCGGGTGAGGCCCCTCCGGCTGCGTCTTAGTCTTGTGCCGGTCTGGGTATGGAGCTCTGGCTGGCTCTCGTGCTGCAAGTGCCTTGGTCCCTCTGCTGGCCCGTGGTGGCATTGGTGGCTGGTGTTGATTCTCCAAACGGTCCCAGAATTGCCTGCATATGGCGTCAAACCTCGTCTGGAAGGCTGCGGCCCAGTCGGTGGTCGGTGTGTGGGCGGCGGTGCCGTCAGCCATCTTAGTGAGGCCTCGTGTCTCCCGTCTGTCAACCTTGCGACCTGATTCAAGTTGTGGGTGAGTGCTCACGTTTTGGGGGGTAGACCGGGATGACCCCTGCCGGTCCATGGGGGGGGGAACGTGGACCCAGGCATAGAAGCTCAGTTGGTCGTGGTGGCAGAGAAGCGTCCGTCTCCTCTGTACTCGCCATGCTGGTAGGCCTCAGACTCCTATCAGGCAAGTTTTGCTCCAAACGGCTTATAAGTGGTATCAATGCATGCTGCTGGTTGTCGCCTTCTGTTTGGTGACTGTCTCGCTTCGATAAATTGTACTAATGGATTTTTAGTCAGTGTGGGGAGATTGTGTTTAACACAGCCTTCCCACATACTGTCATTCTCTCCAATTAGTCACTCACCCCTCTCTCTGCCACACACCCTATAACATTCTCCTACCCCCCTAACCCTGTCACACTAAACCCCCTAACCCTGTTATACTAACCCTGTCACACTAACCACCCTAACCCTGTCACACTAACACCCTCTAACCCTTCACACTAACCACCCTAACCCTGTCATTCTAACCATCACACATACTCTCTATAACCCTGTCACACTAACCCTGTCACACTAACCCCCTCTAACCCTTTACACTAACCCCCCCAACCCTGTCACACTAACCCCCTCTAACCCTTAACACCAACCCCTCCTAACCCTGTCACACTTACCCCTAACCCTGTCACACTTACCCCCTCTAATATGGTCTCACTAACCCCACTAACCCTATCACAGTAACCCCCTCTAATCCTGTCACACTAACCCCCCTAACGCTGTCATACTAACCCTGTCACCCTTACCGTCACCCTAACTCTCCTTACCCTGTCACACTAACCCTGTCACCTTTACATGCCACACTAACACTATCACTCGAACCCAGTCACACTAACCCTGTCATTCTAACCTGTCAAGCTAACCCTGTCACACCAACACCCTCCCACAGTCACGTACCACCTCTCACACGGTCATACTTACCCATTATGTCCCTGTCAGATGACGCCGGAGAGATGGGGGGGGGGGGGGGGGATTTCATCCTTGCTCCAGGCAGTACAATGTGTTTGGCCGGCCCTGGATATCAGTGAAAGTGCTACTGTTTTAAAACACTCATATTTGTATTCAGCAAAGCCACACAGGTTTTATGGTGTCTTGGAAAGATTAAACATGGGGCTTGCAAATTAAATTCTATAGACTTTCTGCATGGGTTGTCAGGAAGGTCCCTCAAATTGCAATTGATTAATATATATATATATCACTATATACAGTTGCACTCAAAATTGTTCAACCCACATTGAAAATCAGGTTTATTGCCAAAATTCACAGCTGTTTGCAATGAACAAACGCAATTGATATAACTCAACAAAACGCATGCTTCAAGAGGTTTCCCCAAATTCAACTGATAATGACTTCTCCAGTGTAAGCCCACTTAATGTGGGATGGCATCGAACTCCATAACAGCATTAATGAGTTAAATGTCCAAAAACATTATTTTGTCACTGGAAAAAGATACAAATTATATTTGTTGTATCCTAATGACCTTGGAATAATCATAAAAGATGAAACTGAATTTTAACCACAAAACACATAAAAAGAAAATTGAAAGGACATAAAGATTCTACATTATAAATTAAAAATGGTGAAGTATAAAATTGCCCTTTTTAAAAATGCTCAAACTGATCAACAATTCAAAAAATACAGATACAGTGGGCATCAAAAAACAAACTTTGTACAAAAGACAAGTTCCTTGATAAACAATTTCAATAGGTTGAAAGTAATGTTGTTTTGCTTGCAGTGAGCACAAAATAAATTTGAAGCGCATTTCATCTACTTCTGTGTACTGGACAATTTTCTTTGGACTTTAAAGGGCTACTTTAACCACCATGACCACTTCAGTGATTTGAAGTGGCAATGGTCGTAGGAGTCAGCATGTGCAGTGCTTCTACTTGCATGCGCTCAGTGCTGGCGAAACAGACCAATCACAGTCTTCTCTATGAGAAGCCTGTGATTGGACTGCTCGAGGCCTCTGTGACATCAGAAGGGCTGCAGAAGTCAGCACCTGGAGCTACGCCCAGCACTGGATTCAAGGTAAGTTAAAATCTTTTGTTTTCAGTTTTTTGTGCAAACAGAGGGGGGGACCTTCTCCCAGTGGTGGAACTGCCAGTGGACGTCAGAGGGGGTGCAGAAGTCAGCACCTGGAGCTACGCCCAGGCGCTGGATTTCAGGTAAGTAAAAAACCTTTATTTGCAGGTTATTGTGCAAACAGAGCGTGGACCTTCTCCCAGTGACAGAACTACCGCCGGTGCAGCTATACCAGGTCCCACAAGCTTTAGTGGTCCCATCGGGTGGCCCAGGCACTTAGGGCATCCCGATGGGTATTATTGCTTGACAGTAGTATTGGCCGGCTGAGAGAAAGTGACAGGTGATCACTTCCTCTCAGCTATAAGGGCAGAGCCTGCGTGGTAGGGAGGAGTGAAGCATCAGTGGCACAGGCAGTAGCGAGGAAAGAAGACCATGAGTCAGCTGATGCAGACCCATACACTCGCTTCCATCAGCCTCAGCCATCAAGAGCAGGACCCCAAGCAAGCACACATTTACTCTCTATACAAAAACATGCTTACATTTAAACACACAAACTCTGATCACAAATACAACTCTGCAAGCAAGGGCAAATAGTAGATCCCCACCTGGAATAGCATCATTGGAGTTGTGCAGCAGATGTAGATCTACCTTTTGGGCACTTTTGCACAAGAAGTGGGTCCAAAAATCTGTCACAAGGACCCTCACTACATTAGTTCTGCTACTACCTTCTCCATAGTGCCCAGTAGGGAATTTTACGCAGGAAAGGTTGCTTCCCGAAAAATGGCTGGAGTAATCTTTTAACGACAGAATAGACCAAGGAAATTCTTGACACCAAAAAAAAAAAAAATGGGAGGTTGACATAGGCAAAATAAAGGGTCTAACCCAAATGTTAATGATTACAAATGAAGTAACAGGGGTACATTCTTCAACAAAATGCCTAAGTTAAAAAGACTTCACTTTTATTGAGCATCTTTAAAACCATCAGTAACAAAGAAAAGAAAAAAATTGGAGTGATAAGTGAACTGTGTCACATTATGATACAATACAAACAGAAGAGGATTACGTTCTCTTAATATGTGGATAATTAAGGTGTTGGTTCTAACAGAGTATGGGTGCTGCAGAGAGAGACTGCAGGTTTTAAATAAACCACTGATGAATATAGTTAAAGTTCCAACTGCAAGTTGAAGCAGTGTTTACAAAGTATCAAGGTATTGAACTTTGTATCTGCTTAAATATCGAAACTGAAAACAACTTGAAAACAAGGTAGATTAGCAACAGGATTGCATCTTAAAGGGACTCTATTCTCACCAAAACAATTTAGCTTAAAAGGAACACTCCAGGCACCCGGACACACTCTGACCTTCAGGGGTTAAACCGTATTCGGACGTTTGCAAGCCAGTTTTGTGAATGGGGAGTCACTGTTTGGCTGAAAGTGGCACTCCGCTGTGATCATCGCTGTAGGCAACTTCGGGATCAAAATATTTGAAAACGGTTTAATCCGTAAAGGTATGAGTGTGCCTGGGGCCTCCTGGCACCATAACAACCTAATCTATATAAAGTTGTTATAGTGTCTCAAGGGGACTAGACTGTCCTTTTAATTAAGCAGTTTGGTGTATAGATCATGTCCCTGCAGTCTCACTTCTCAAATTTCTGCAATTTAGAAGTTAAATCCCTTTGTTTACATCTATTATACTGCGTCACAATGAACATGTGTTTGAGTAATAGAAAATAACTATAGCAATATAAATATTTCATAGTGTAAAAATACAAACTAAATTACAAGTGGGCATAGGGCCCAGGGACGCATAGAGTCGGTATTGATATAGTTGCAAAAATAAATAAAAGGTGAACCTCTACTAAACAGGGAGTCAACTCTAACTAGTGCTAGTGAGATGTTATAAATATGAACTCTCACACTGTAAAGTGTTTGAGTTACCCTTAAAGACACAGGATATTACACTGTATGACTGATTTTGCATCAGTGTGGCACAGTTCATTATCAGAAAAAACGATTATAAATAGGATGGCGCAAATGAGAGAAGGATCTTAGTACATGCAGCAACCAACAAAAACAAATCCTGGTAAAACGATTTGAACATAAAATAACTTACAGTAGTGATGGTGCGCAACAACAACAAAAATCGTATTCACTATGGACCTCCTATCCGTGGAAAGGAAGCTTGGATCTCAGGTAAGTATACTTTATTAATAGCAATTAAAAAACAGCAAAACTTGTTGTGGAGATAATTAATCCAGGATAGCAGCCGGAAGATTTTTTTACATTACATGAGTATATGGAACTTTCTTTGCGGTTTCCTGAGGCTGGTGAGCGGACTAACTACCTCCACAACAAGTTTTGCTGTTTTTTAATTGCTATTAATAAAGTCTACTTACCTGAGATCCAAGCTTCCTTTCCACGGATCCCACGCACTCTAGGGGCTGATGCACCCTGAGTGCTACAGCAACGAGTGGTGCTTTTACCACTCCAATCTTGTGAGTGTAACACCTAAAGGGCACCTCTGTTTGCTTTATTTTAGATATCTATAAGCGAATTACTACGCTGCACTAGGAGCTCTCTTTCTGTTTTTGTCTCCTTAATAGGTGTCAGAGTGATTTCCATGTTTGCAAGTATACCTACAGATTGTGCTTTGTTTTACCACAACCACTGTTTGGTTTTCAATTATTTATAATATTTCCACTCTGTAAACACCTCATTTCATGTACACAGGGTTACTTTCACTCTCTATAAGACGTCCATAGTGAATAGAATTTTTTGTTGTTGTTGCGCACCATCACTACTGTAAGTTATTTACAGTTCATTATGACTTCACTTTTTTTTGTTTGTTTGTTTTAGTTGTTACTGATTGATGTTTTTTTTTAAAGACACTCAGT